TTTAGGGTGCTTTAGGGTCAGTCTCTGTGTGTGCAAGAATGACACACTCGTCTTCATACTGAACATCAGTGATGCTAATTCTCATGATTTTAGATTTTGTTTGGAGATGTTGAAGACTGAGGAATTGGCCATCCATACGATACTCAATCTCAATTCTGTCAGGAAGGCAGTCTTGGATGAGAATCAGGATCATGGTAAGGTAAATGGAGAAGAATACTGGAGCAATGACACAGCCCTGCTTGACACTGGTGTGAATGGTGAATGGTTCGGTCTCTGAGCCATTGCACAAAATAGTGGCAGTCATCCCATCATGGAGTAGTCTGATGACGGAAATGAATATCTGTGGATAGCCAAACCTACACAGCACCATTCACAGGGCATCACAATTGATAGAGTCAAAGGCCTTGGTTAGGCTGATGAATGCAATGAACATTTCCTGGTGTGACTCTCTGCACTTCTCCTGAATCTGTCTTGAAACAAAGATCATGTCAGTTGTGCCTCAGGATGGCCTGAAACCACAATGTGATTTGGGGTGGAGTTCCTTGGTAAGGGGGAGGAGATGGCTTAGTAGGATCTGGGCAAGAATCTTCCCGGCGATGGAGAGGAGAGCAGTACCTCTATAGTTCCCGCAAAAAGATTTGTCCCCTTTCTTGAATATTGTAATAATGTTGGCATTCTTAAAGTCAGGTGGAATTTCTTCACAGGTCTAGATTTTGTTGAGGAGTTAGCAAAGTTTGTGCTGGAGCATTGTTCCACCAGCTTTAAAAGCTTGAGTTGAGATGCAATCTGGGCCTGGTGCCTTATGGTTTTTTGTCCAATTGATAGCGTGCTGGACTTCCTCAAAAGATGTGGGATCAGCAAGGTGTTCCATTGCTGAGAGTTGTGGAATAAACTCAATGGTGTCTTCAGAGACCATGGATTCACGGTTTAGTAGGCTCTCAAAGTGCTCCTTCCAGAGTTGTTTAATGGCTGCATTGTACTTGAGGAGGGTGGAGCCATCTTGAGAATGTAAGGGGGTTGGGCCTTTGGAGCTTGGCCCATATATAGCTTTTGTTGCTTGAAAAAAAAAACTTCTCATGTCATCCTGGTCTACCAAACCCTGGATCTAGGAGGCCTTCTCTTGCCACCACTTGTTTTTGATGTCATGTAGCCTCCTTTGGACTTTGGCTTTAAGCAGGTGATAGGCCTCATGTTTTTGTTTGTTAGAGGAATCATTTTGCCAGTTACAAAATGCATTTCTTTTCTATTGAATTAATGCTTGGATTTCCTCATTGTTTTTGTCAAACCAGTCTTAGTGCCAATGAGTGGGATATTCTATGGTTTCAGCATGTGCATTGTGAATGGTGTTTTTAAGTTGATCCCAGTACGCTTGAATATCAATAATGTTGTCAGACAGGTTAGAGTTTCTCAGACAGATGTTGCTGGAATGTCTCACAGCTGGCTTGGACTTGAAGTGCTTTGATGTTGTACTGCTTTCACTTAATCTTTGGGTGTTTGTGGTATGGTGGAGCAAGCTGCAGGTACATGACTGATCTTACTGATTGATAATTGGTATCTCTCATAGCTCATGTTTTATGGATGTTGGTGTAGTCTCTGGCTCCGACTATAACATAGTCAAGGAGGTTCCAGTGTTTGGACTAAGGATGTTTCCAGATGGTCTTAAATTTGTTACTCTGCCAAAAGATGGTATTTGTGATGAGCAGGTCATGCTCCACACATTTTCTGAGGAGGAGAATACTATTGGGGTTTACATTTCCCACTCCTTCTTTGCCTGTTGTGCCTCTCCAGAGCTGGGAATCCCATCTGACTCTGGCATTGAAATTTCCCAGGAAGATGAGTTTGTCTGCCTTAGATGTGGTTGTGAGAACTGCATCAAGAGTTCTATAAAACTGCTCCTTACTGTCTTCCTCCTCATCAAGTGTTGTGGTGTATGTGCTGATGACCATGGCATATTGGTTGTTGCTAAGCTTGAGCCGAAGACTCATGAGAGGATTGTTGATCCCCATGGGAAGCTCTAAAATCTGACCAGTGAACTTATTTTTGATGGCAAAGCTAATCCCATGAATGAATCTCTCTTCAGGTGGCTTTCCTTTCCAAAACAAGGTGTTGTCACCTCCGTCCTCTTTTAATTGGCCCTCAATAGCCCAGCAGGTCTTACTAAGAGCTGCAGTGTCAATGTTGAGTCTTGCAAGTTCTCTGGCAATTATGGCAGTTCTTCTTTCTGGGCATTCACTGTGCTGAGAGTTCATAAGGGTGCGGACATTCCAGGCAGCAAAATTCATTGTCTTATATCTCTTGTTTCGTCCGCAGATTTGAGTGATCCCACAGGATATGGCCATCCAGTCGGAAGAGTGTGAGACAGCCTATGTTGGGGCACCTATTCTAGCCCCCTCCCCATTTGGGGTGAGCAGAGGGGATCATGAAAAGGCCTGCTCAGTCACAGCCACTGCTGCCAAATTGCACTTCTGTCTCAACCATGCACAAATGACCATCACATGGCTGCCACCTGCATGCAGATTTGTGACTAAAGACTCCCAGAGATCACTGCACCTGTCTTCCCTGACACTTGTCCATCACCACAGGACTTTGAGTGGGTGTGAACCCTTTGGCAGAGGCCTGCACATGAAATCTTTTAACATGGGGAAACCAGTGCACAGGCAGTAAGCACGCAAAACTTGACAGGAGGAAAATCCTGACCCAGCAGCAAAGAGATCCGAAACAACCAGGGGCCTCCCTCCTACTGCAGCCCTCATCAGCTTTCACAGCCACAGAGTACGAGAAGGTCCTCTATATGCGCCCAATCCACCGCTGGAGTCTTTTCAAGTTTGGACCATGGTTAGTCAGGAGCCTCATCTCAGACCTGCTCACCAAGGGGGACCCTACCAGGAGTATCAAATCTCTGGACAAGATAGCTCTGAGGGTGTATAGCCCATGCAAGCCTCTCCACCATGACAGGTTTTTGGTCCATCAGAGAGGGGTCCTGAGACCACAATCACCACTGGAGCAAGTGGCATATAGCTGCCTTCACCACACTTTTGTGGGTGTGGAGCTTCTGTTGCTGGGCCCAGAACACCATCTTCAGCTTTCACCTGGGCCAGGCCCCCCTACCCCTGCTACCTCATTGACTGGTGGCCTGCCTGGTTGCTGCTGCTTCCCCAGGGGGAGATCTTGCAGGCCTGCTCCCCAGAGGGGGAATGATGGACCCTGCGGGGTCTCTCTTGGCTGGCTGCTACTGCTGAGGAACTTGCTGTTGGTGCGAGGAAGAGGGAGAGCAGCTGCACAGGTTGGACCGTCTGGACCTACTGCAGAACACTGTAGAGGACACTGGAAGAAAATGCTTTGCATTTTGTATGACTTCAAAGCTGAAAGGGAGTTTTAATGTTTTCCCTTCTACTGGTTTTCAATGTTTAGGATGGATTCCCGTTTTTAATAACCTGGAAACAAAACTCTATAATACCACATTACTACTTTTTCAAATAGCTGTTTAATATGTGTGCTTCCTATTTATTGTAATGCTGCTTTTACTTAAAAGTGCTGGGCTGTTTATATTTTTGAAAGACACGTTGCTCTGAAAGATTGATTTTGAAAAAAGAGAGCAAAAGGATCCATTTACATGGATTCATTTACATGGACTTGGCAAGAAGATATAAAGTGAGGAAAAGACAATCATACATGGGGCTTTTCATGTCACTACTTTATAAGTAACACATTGAAAGTTATGTTAGGACACTGTAGTTTTATTTTATTTTTTTGCTGCTCAGTTTGCATTACTCCCAACTAATACTGATATCTATCCCCTTTGCTATGAACAATGAAAATCCACAATTCATTTCATACTCTATATATGTAGTTTCTGAAAGCAAGAATCCCCTTTTTGTAAGAAAATAAAAGTATTTTATTCTATGTTTAATGGGTTGGTATTAGAATACGAAAATATCACCATGTCACCACTGGTTCAAACAAGCCTAGGTAGTGCTTGAAAGTTCATTACTTTAATTGTTGGGACTAGATGATGTGGCGGGCCTTTCTGGCCTTAAAATCAATGACTGCATGGCCAGTCTATAGTACATACCTGTCTACATCAGAGTTGCTCTAACTAACTTTGTTTGGGGTAGACTCAGGTGAGGCCGCCTCTCAAGGATTTCATGGTCATGACTGAACTAACTTCTCGCTCTAGAGATAGTCTCTCTATTACCATGTTGAGGCCTATTTGTGGGATAATGAAGGTTTCTTCAAACTATCTCTGTTCACACCGTACCTGTTCTGTAAACTGAAAGCTTCCTAATTATTAAGCTGCCACATTTCATGAGCACCGTCTACATATCAAAATTAGAAATAATTATATTAAATATTAGAAATAATAGTGTTAGAAATCACAAATTTATCAAAAGAAAAGCTGACATGAATGTACCCTCTTGAAATATGTGGCAAACTTTTACACTTCTCTTCCCACTATACTTTCCTCTTTCCATGATGAAATAACATTCCTACTCATTTTAAAGTGTGTGACCTCATGACCTGTGACTAAATCTTTCTATTCTGGAATACTGGCACCTCCAGCATATTTGAAGCAGCAGATCTGTAGATAACCTGCTTTTCCATATATTGTATTGGTCCTTATTTTGCTTATTAAAGACCAACCTCATTTTTATCAATGGGTTTACTCTTATGAGTCAGGTGATCAGAATTTGGCTCTGAAAGCCAATAGAACAGAAGGGAAAGAGAGGAAGAGGGGAGAAAACTTGACTTTGAAGTACCTTGTCTTTGTTTATGTTACTGAAGCCAATAAGAATTGAGGTATTCAGGACCTTGCAGGAAGAACTCAGCATCTCTCTGGGTCAGGCCTTTGATTAGATTTAAAACTGACTATTACTTGCCTGGGGCTAATCCAATCTTCCTTAGTCTAGACCAACTTTTAAAGCTTTCCCATAAGGTACAGTGTCACTCAAATTCACTTCAGGAGAAACAAAATTTGCCAGTTCTATTTTAAAAGCACACCATCTGTGACAGTTCTGTTGTGAACATCAGCAGTATGCTGACACTGCATTACTAAAATGAATGAGACCTGACACATGGAGAAGTCCCAGGTTGCTACTCCACATAAAATTGGCTCTCATTCAGGTTTCTTTTTTTTCCTTTGGGAAAATAACTACCACTATTAATAGCAACATTGTAATCTGCCCTGGGATTTTAATACCTGCTTCAACCCCTCTGATTTTGTCAGAAATTAATGGAAGACATCTTGCTGAGCAACGGCTTTTGGCATTGTGCTGGTAAGGGTTATATTCCTTTTTTACCTTAGCGATGTTAGTGGTTTTAATACAAAACAACCTACAGCATCAGTTTGGGGTCAATTGTCTTATTATAAGAAATTGTTCATGTTCTACCATATGTATGAAGGAGGCAATCCGTGTAATTGCAATCTCTTTAGTGGAGAATTTTCATCAGCTAATCTATAAATTACCATTAGAATATTCTTTATTTCTCTTAATTAATATAGTTAAGAGCTGAATGGACTTCTGTCTTTCCTTTTTCAGGATAAAAGAAAAGAGAACTGAGAAACTATCTGCATTTAGTGACATTTTACCAATTGATAGAACATTTGCAATTTTACGTGTTCTTCCAAAATTGTTGCATGGCTAATGGATTCTTAAAGAGTTTGCTTTTTGTCAGAAATGATGTCCTTTCTTCTTGCTTAGTAATGCCAGTGGGAGAGGAGTCTGCTCAGCAATTTTGGATGTCAAGCCAAACTTATTCAGGAGCCTAAATCTAGATTTAGTGGCCTATTTTTAGGCATTCATTTTTGCACATTAACCAAGAAATACTGTGTGCAATCAGTATTAGACTCCATCACAGCAGTTTCTCTGTGTTTGCTGAAAAAGAACCGTACCTGGGCACTACAGATCATTTTAGACAGTATCTACTCTTTTAAACTAAAAAAAATCCCCGTGCCACATGCCTTTTTTATGGGGCAATACCTTATTTTTTTCTGCCCAATGAGTTTCATAAGAAGCAATTTGTGACTCAGTCACAATCTGATTCCTAGTTTCTCCCCCTGCTCTGGAGGGTGGACATGAAATATATACTGAGCCAGTCCTATAGGTGTTGCAGCTGTGCTGTGAGATGTGTTGGGGAAGAGGGAGGAGTCAAAACTCTAACCATTTCCTGCTCCCATCTTCCCACCCACCTACACAGAGGTGGGGGTAGTGGCTCTGCTAAGGCTGCTTCCTTTCCCACATCTGCCACATTGCTACCTGCAATGCAGGTAGTCAGGAGAGCAGATTATGGGATTGCTTTACATCTCTTTACTCTCCTGGGTGGGCCATAATCGGGGCCTAATCACCTGCAAATTCAAAATATCTTATCTCCTTTGTGTATTTACTTGATGACTTTTATTGTAATTGATTTTTTTTTAAATTGTCAATAGAAGCTTGATTCAATTTCTGACACATTGGGTTGACTGACGTGAAAATAACTGAGGTCCTATTTGTTTATATTTTTTTAATAAAATCTGACATCATAGACATCATGATTGCAACTTTGCCTCCATTTAAATGTTTTACTATTTCTTTTCCTAAGCACCTTTGGGCTACTGCATATGTTTTTTTTCTTGATAAGTTACAGGTTTTTAGAGGTTTCCCAAAATATTTACAGAGCAATGCAGAAACAACAACAACAAAAACCTATTAAAGCACACTTTTAAGCTGCACCTTCCTGAGATTTCACAATTCCCTGTTCAGTGCCTGCAATTGTCACCAGTCTTAAAAGTTTTGTTATATATAGCATATCAAAATGTTAAGCAAATTGCCAAGAAAGTGAAAAGTGACACTGAAATGTAGTGACCAATAGAACACATGTATCTTACAGAAAGAAAATATTTATCACAAATATAATTTTGTTTGAGTGATAAAATGTGCTAAATTGGTAGATCTCTAAGCACATGCAAACTATTTAATATTTACATTAATCTCAAGGAAACGTCCTATATCATTCAATGGAAAATTATAAGTTTTGCATAATTTTTTTTAACAATTCTATAGAATATAATAGAAAAGTGTATCTGTGTAGTAGAATTCTATAGGGTGATTATAAAAAAAAATAAAAACATAGTTCTCTCTGCTAAATGTCATCAAATCCAAGTGTAATTTCCATAGAATGCTCTTGGTTTAACATATATTCACTTTCATAGAGTATGAGTTAATTCAAAGCCCCAAAAAGTATCCTAATTCCCCTCTACTCCCCTCTGAAGTAAAGGGATCCTAACACACTTCCCAAACATCCCCTTCAGTTAGAAGCCTGTTGAAGTAAAGAATCCTTTCTATGTGCTTGGAATGGCAGTAAACTAGTGCCAAGGGAAGTGTGTTCCAGGAGTAAGGGCCCTTTACTAAAACCATCCTGTCACCAGGCCTCTGGGCAGGGCCGACTCTCAGCACCAGCAAAACAAGCAGGTGCTTGGGGCGGCACATTTCTAGGGGCGGCATTCCGGCGCCGGCCATGCCGCCCCTAGAAATGTGCCCCTGCTGCCCCAGCTCGTCTCCGCCTGCTCCCCTGAGCGCGCTGCAGCAAGGGAGGGGAAACCAAGCGGCGGCGTGCTCAGGGGAGGCGGTGGAGTGGAGGTGAGCTGGGGTGGGGAGCAGTTCCTCTACCCCACCCCCAGCTCCCACCTGCTCCCCTGAATGCGCTGCCTCTCCCTCGCCTGAGAGGGAGCAGGGAGAAGTGGAGCGGCGGCGTGTTCAGGGGAGCAGGTGGAGCGGAGATGACCTAGGGTGGGGGGTTGGGGAGGAGCCACAGGAAGCAATGTGGCATGCCCGGGGGAGGAGGTGGGGCTGGGATTTGGGGAAGGGGTTGGGAAGAGGCGGAGCCAGGGGCGGGGGCGGCACGGTGGTCACGAAAAAAAAGCAGGGGCGTCCAAAATTTTGTTTTGCTTGGGGTGGCAAAAATCCTGGAGCCGGCTCTGCCTCTGGGACTGCTAGTTTGAGCACCACTGATAAGTGCCATGGTGTAACATGAGGAGAGAGGCAGTCTCCAAGAGGACCTAAAATATATAGATGTTTAAGATCAATGCCACACCTTGGATTGCATCCAGAAATGAATTATAAGCCAATCACAGACTAACACAATTGTCCTATACTCCCTGTGAGAATCACCACTAGGTAGCAGGCAGCCACATCTGGCAGTGGGTGACATTTCCACATGGTCTCCAGGAGCATCTCCACCCTTATGGAAAAGTCTTATACAATTTCGTAGAAAAACAATCTTTATATTGAGTTTTAGTCATCCTCTAGAACTTTATAATGAAGAACTATATCCCTGTTATACAGTGTTACAGGATGGTTCCAAAAACCTAAAGAGAAGGTATAATTAAGTTCCATAGGATGTTAGTGTAATTTCTATGCAACCATATTAATCTCATCACTATTAAATTCTATGGACTTTTCCACATGAGCACCTAGTGCACATTGCAGCAATTCTGTGGAGGTGACAAATGCAAAGTTAACTGTGGAAAGGTCTTCTTCTAACCAGATGAAGATGAAAAAGTATTCTTGGCTATCTGTTTGCTTGTAATTATAAAAGCTTCCAGAGATCTGATGGGATCCGCAGTTTGTGCACTTTCCTAACAAAGGATGAAATTCACCCATACACAGAGGCCCAGCACCGACATGGTTAATGAGCCTTTTTCTGGCTCTCTGAACAGGCGTGAATTATATCCCCAGAGCAGGCAGACTCTCCTATTACATCCAGTTGTTTCCAACAATTGATCAACATCACTTCTATCTTCTCTAGGCCTGAGGGGTTTTTTTTAAGTCCATATTCTACCAAGGGCTATAATGTGAGGGAAATTCTGAATGCATCTTGTTTCTGTTGATTGTATAGAAGTTGCTTCACTTTATTATAATGTGGAAAGGATAAGCAGGAGGACTCAGTGCTCTATGACTCAACTCAGCACAAATTAATTGAATAATGATTTTATTTCCCCTTAGTAATGGTTGAGGAAGTGCATATAAATTCTCATGGGCTGCAATTTATATTTTATGTGATAGGCATTTTATGTGAACACCAAGCTGCACACTCCTGAGGGTCAGAAGGTGGAAAGCAGATTTTAGAAGTTTCAGTGTGAACCTTGTGGAGTTTCTCCTAAGGGTTGTAACTTGCTTAAGGTGCAGAAGAAATAACCTAATTCTCACCTGCCTTGCACCTGTAGTTGTCAGTGACAGCAGCACAAAGTGGGTGCATAACTCTACCGAGCAGAATGGTGGCATTTTACACAGGTGTAAATTACTACAGGGCAGTGGGAAATCAGATCCATGGCTTCCAAAACTTGAGGAGCCTCTGGATCTGTGAGGAAATGGAAAGGGTAGGTTGTATACATTTTTCAACATACTATAGACACTATGAAAAGGAGTACTTGTGGCACCTTAGAGACTAACCAATTTATTTGAGCATGAGCAGCTCATGCTCAAATAAATTGGTTAGTCTCTAAGGTGCCACAAGTACTCCTTTTCTTTTTGCGAATACAGACTAACACGGCTGTTACTCTGAAACCTGTCATATAGACACTATGGCCTCCCTGTGAAGAGTTTGCCTCTCCCTTCTACATTTTTGCCCAGATCTTCCTCCCATTGCACTAGGGCTGCATTGGGAGCCCTGTCTGTCATCTGTTGCCCCACTGTGCTAGTACCCTACTTCCACGCCCACAGTAGAAGTCATTTCAGAGTGGAAGTTAACCCTTCTGTCCACATTTACTTCCTCTGTAGGCGTTTTCCCGTCCCATGGTGATCATGCTGCAGGGAATGAGTGCTCCCTGGCCCTGTGCACCTCCAGCTATATCATCCATCTATTCCTCACCCACCAGCACTGAAGCCCTGCTCACATGGCATAGCCACAGACTGGCTTCCATAGACTCTAGGCTTCCTTTCCTCTTGTGTCCTTTTGACCCATTATATCCCAATTTGGTGTCCTCTGGCCCTAGACAAATAGCGCTAATTAGTGGGATACTAAAGTTCAGTTTGACAAATTGTACGTATGGGTCTGTTGAAAGGGAAAATCAGGCAGCATGGGAATCAGGCTGAGAAAGGAAAGAAGAAATGCTGACAGACCAATCAGTCACCAGTCAAGCAGTAGGATCTGGGAATGGCTTGTGTGGCAATGAATGACAGAGCTAACATTGAGGCAGTGAAAGCACAGTACCAGCAGGGAATTGGAGAGGCAAAGAGAGAGAAATAAGAGTTGACAGGGCAAAGTGTTATCAGCTGCTGTCTGTTTGTTGAAATTC